AAAGGGTTTTCACTCGACAATGAATCGATTTTTTCAGCGTCATAAACGACCGAAAATAAAGGAATCCAGATCAAATGAACCATATCTGCAATGAATTACTACATCAAAGAAGAGAACTTTGGAAACAAAAGAGTGATGACAAGGAAATCGAAAAGCCTAGCATCTAGCGCCAATAGGCTACTCTCCAAGGACAAAATCTGACACAGTGCGCTTCAGCTGCAATAGCGGCAACCGGCGCGAAAGCAGTTACAGGCTGCAAAAGCGACAACCGGCGCGGTCCCGGCGCGGTCTGGAAGCTCCCTAACAGCGATATTTCAGAGGTGCGAGCATCTCAAAATGCTTTTTTTTTCGTTGCATTCGTATCTTTGTTAGATTATAATTCAACTCTAACACAGCAAAACACAGCAATCCTTATCTGCGAAAGCGCTTTTTTTTAGCAAGTAAGTGACTTCCTTTCGGATCGAAAATGTCTGAAGTCGAGCTTCTGACAAAACTAAAAAACATTTACGTTCTTTATTCTCCTTTACTAAGCATCATGTTCTGTCACAACACGATGAAAGTGTTTTCCTATGACCAGTCTACGAAGTACGCTATAGATCTTACTAGATCAATCGGTGACAAAAGTAAGAAAGGTTAGCAAAATTTTTTACTGAAAAAAATGATATTGTTTCTAAAATTATGAGATTTTTTAAGATTTGGATTACTCTTGATTAGGCGAAAATTGTTTTTTTTTTCAAAAAAAACAATAGCAGGATCAGTGCCTGGAGTTTTAATTTGAAAGAATCTCTTCTAGCAAGTACCAAAATAGAAGTTGTCGGAAGAAGAAAAGGAATTTGTTGAGCCAATGAGAAAGATGTTTTGCCTGTCTCTAAAAAGAAAAGCTTTATTTGAATCACCAAAACCTTGAATTTGCTGACTACACCTTATCGCGATCGATGATCTGATTGAGCTTGCTGATGAATGAGATGCTGATTACGGCTGCTGATGCACAACTTTTCGGCATCGGAAGACATCTAGATGAGCCGTAAATCAACTGTGTTAAAGTTCATCCATGTATTCAACAGGCGCATAGCGATATTTGTCACGGCCCTAGGTCAGTAGTTGCTAGCTTCTACAATTATCACCAAATTTATTGCTATTTTGAACGCGCGCAGGCAGTTGCTGGAACGGACTAGCATAAAGAATAAAAAGCGAAAGAGCTCTAGGCCATGTGTAATAGCCAGGTAAGCGGTACAGCAGATACTATCTTTCCTAACGAATTGTACTGCAGATTTTGTGCTGTAGCTACGAACGAGCACGTCCATGTCCAAAAATAAAAGCAAAATGCGTTTGTGACCTGAAAAGCCTATGCAAGAAATTCGCAGTATTCCAAAAATTACGGAATCATGTGAAAACATCCTAAAGAAAAACCTGAATTAAAGCAAAAGTTCAAATATACGAGAAAACCGCAGAAGAAGGAATTTTCCTTGCTAGAATTCAGTTCTGCAAAGGGATTCTGAAGATACACAGATTTGGCCCAGTTATGACCATGCGGAACTGTTTATAAAAAAATTAACATTTTTTCATTCATTTACATATAATTTGCTAAAAATTAATTTTGCGCTTCATGGTAAGATATATAGAGCTCAATGATCAATGCATCATTAGCAAAAAAAAATTGGGGACAAATGTGACTGCTCGCTGGACTACCGGTAGGATGTATCTATGAAATAATTTAGTCGAAGGTCATCAGTATGTTCGGTGATATGGTGACTTTGAGATTAACTCAATCAAAGACCATCACCACATTTGTGAATGCAGTATTTCGGTACCCTTTTTCTGAAATATTAGTTTTCTTTTATTAGAAGAAAGAAATTTTTCACATCACAGCACACTTGTCAGGAAGAAGGGTCTGCAGTTCCCTTCCCTGAGCTTGTAGCGGGAATACGAGGTTCGATAACACATGATTATAGATAGTTTTATTATATAAGATATATACGTGATAGAAAAGGGGGAGGGGGTCAGGGATGGAGCTGTGACTACTGCTAGCCAGCTCCGTAGTCGTCGTCGTCCTAGGAGAGATCCGACTCTCCTTTTTACAGCAGACTCGGCCTCCACAACACCTGCTTCACGCAGGCTTGAGCCTGAGGAGTCATGGATGACAGATCTCCCGACAGTCATGGATGATAGATGGTCTCCCGACATCTCCATTCCTACAAAAAGCTCGACCTCAAGCTTATGCAAAACTTCGCAAGTAATTATCGCTTCAATTATTTTTAGGCAAGTCTTCAAAGATTACAGCGTGGTAGGAACAAGGGGACTTCCAAATTTTCCAGGTGGTCTTCTCTGAGACCATCCAAGGATACTCTTACAGCCACGTCCATTTCCATATACCCGGGCATTGAAGAAGCTCGTCCTCGACCGTCCTCGAGCAAAAGAAGATGACAGATGACAAAAGTAGTGGAGGAGATGAGGTCAGGAGACGAAAGGACGGTGATGACGAAATGTAGTAAAGGACGTATTGGTGAGAAAATAAATGTATGGGAATAGATGAGCAATATTGGGCAATGTACGAGTTAACATGCAACTTCTCAGCAACAAAAATTCCTATTTTTCTTTAATACTACATTTTATTGTAGAGAGGAAGAGAAAAAAATTCTAATGGGGGAGTTGAAATTGTTTTAGTGAACAATAGTCAACATTCAGTTAGATGGAAATGCAAAAAAAAAAGAAATGGTGACAAAATACATGCGATGTTTGTTTTCGTAATTGCTACAAGATAACACTAGCAAATACTGGAACCTTTAATGTCTCCCTGCGACGTCGATGATTTGCCTCATGAGATTCTCTCCACCTGCGACGCTTCTTATGTCCACGGAGTTTGTCGTCCCTCAACGCAAAGTTTCATCGAAGGATTTTCCTACGGGTGTTTTACACCCATATTTGATCACGTGGAGATCGCCGAACTGCAAGCATACGCTCGCTCGATCCGCTTTCCATTTTTCGCCTTCTCCTGACCATGCCTTGAAGAGGTAGCCGCCACAATTATGGAGACCGCCTATAATTAAGCACGATTTATCGGCATAGTATTTCAAAAAAAGAAGATCAAACCTAAATGACGTGAGCCCTAAGATGCTTTGCACTTCCGGGATTACCGTCTTGTCACTCTGGATTTTGAATATGGTTTTTCGTACCTCTCCGCTGACAAGCATCGATAAAATTTGCTCCTCAATGAACAACGTCTCTTCGAGGTGATTCACGGGGCGCGTACCGCTCGCTATACATATCAGCTTGCGTAGACACGCTACATCTTCCCCATATCAGCATTTTCATGGAAATTTATCTTATACATTTTACAAAAACTTAAAAATTTTTTCTTACCTTCCTCAAATCCATGCTGATTTTGCGCTCAGACCGCAAATCCCTCTCACTCACGTAGCGCGCCTTGTCGAATTGGAATTGTAGTCGACTTCCTCGTCCTTTTCGCCAAGTCGACGCCGAACGGTGTCCAGCGTACTCCATAAATGAGTGCGCGAAGTGACAGATGGTCTCCCGACACACTATTAGGCATCATTATTATCAATTAATTTAAAAAACACTCACTCAATCGTTCGCTGTGACTTGGGTGGAAGTTGTGGTTGGTGATGTCGAGGGCTGAGAAATTCTTTTTTTTTGGAGCAGAAATTTTGACTATAGTTCAAAATAAGAAAAAATATCTTCCCGGTACTTCCATGTCAGGATAAAGGTCCATGACGCCTTACCCGATGTGTAGGGGGTTTACATGAGCTTACTATAATGTTCATTACAAACAGTTATATACAAAAGGGAGAAAGGGGAATGGAAGGCTACCGGCTAGTGCCGGCGGCCGGAGGTCACCGCCAGAGGTTGGCTGTCATCGGCCAACCTCCTTTTCGAGCAGCTGTTGTAGCTAGCTGCATCCCGACAGGCTCCCAGATTGCTGCGAGGGCGGACTTAGGCGAGCAAATAATGTGACTGTTTCGTTAAAGCATAGCTGATAAACTGATTACAGGTTTTTCACGCGGTCGCCATAGGTAGGTGCCAGGGGTAGAGGACATTAGGTCGCCGAATTTGGAAGAGTCCCGCGCGGATTCCCTGCAGGAACGCATGTCCGCGCATGTACAAGGGTGCGTGTTTGTCGCAAATGACCGCGGGGACCGCCCTTTTTCGGCGACCTAATGTCCCCCACCCGGTGCCAGAGTAAGCGAATATTTTGCTCAGGTTGGGGTCCCGCGCAGAATTGACGTCTCCCATCATGCTGGCATCATTCCAAGTGACGTAAACTCTGCACGGTACCCCACCTGGACAAACAATTCGCTTACTCTGGTAGGTGCCAGAGTAAGTGAATATTTTGTTCAAGTTGGGGTCCCGCGCAGAACTGGCGTTACTAATCACTGTGGCACAACGCCAAGTTAGCATTATGCCACAATGATTAGTGATGCCAGTTCTGCGCGGGACCCCAACTTGAACAAAATATTCGCTTACTCTGGCAACTATAGTTCAACTATAGTTGCCAGAGTAACCCTACCGGGGTATACCTCTGGCACCTAGCATAGCGTCAATCTGGGTGGGCCTCGTTTGTGATCCTTCTGTCTCGGTAATTCACTATTTTTCGTACTGTCATGCCTTCGTTCTGCAATGGCTCGCATAGTGTAAATTACGCCTAATTTACAATGGGATAGGCTGTCTTTCGTATGTGCAACAATTATAGGTGAACTGTATTCTTGACAGTGAAACCCTAAATTATACTAGCATTTACGTCACTTCTTACAATTGTTTCCTCGTGAGAACGGCGTACCATGAAGTTGTGCATGGTTCAAACTAAATATTGATGTCTTGATCAGTGGATAGGGCATGTTTTTTTGCTGAAAATGCGCTCCTCTCAGTGCTCTCCATCGTCCGATTTACGCTTATCTCATTCTTGGTTCAACTTGATCTCTTCCTGAGCAGTCTTGTTTCATCATGAGCTTTCAACCTTTTCCGCGTTATGACTTTTCATTTATGTGTCTTCATCGCAGAACACGGAGGATGACTGCGGAGGGGACAGCATCGAGCCAGATAGTCTCCTGTGAACACAGAAACAAGAAAAGCTTGTTCAGAGCAAAGGTGTGGTGTTTATTGATGTTAATGTTTCATTTTGCTCTAATCTTATGGCAAGAAAGTCATATATTCAACGTTCTTGTATGATCATATCAATGTCTCTTTTTTCTTATATTCGCACACATTGGTCAACGTTCATCTTCCATATATTTTTTCTTATCAGCTGCGTTCTGCAGCTGCTCGTCCCAGTAGTGTGTAGATACTGGTTATTTTGGTCAATAGTCAAGGCAATTGTAGTTTCCTTATAATATATGGGGAGAAGGGAGGAAAATATCTCTGGCAGTCGTCTATCCCTGTTTTGATGTGGTTCTAAGTAAAAATCACAGTTTAGGAGGTGCGAAAGAAACTGAAAACAGGCAAGACTCTTTGTGAAGAATGTGAGCGAGCAGTTAAGGATGGTGATATATCTTCATCGAAACAGGTTTGTACCAATCCGTTCGCTTGGCGCTGTAGTTTAGTAAGAAATTCCATTTTACAGAAAGAAGTGTTGATCTGTGTAACTTGCGGCTATCTGACATGTTCGACTCACGCCAAGAAACACTGCGAAGCTGCACGCACTGGAGAGAAACATTCACTGTTTTTAAATCTCGAAAACTGCCAAATAAGGTGAATATGTAGGGTTTCTGCGCTGTTATTCTCATATGTAGATATGCGAAAGTTTTGTTAATGAGAGTTTGGGTCGTTGTCGTTCCCAGCTTTTCGGTGTGTCTGCAATTTGTTTGCCTCATACAGTGTCTCCTATAGTGCTCTATTACAAGGTTTCAGATGCGAAGCATGTGCTACCCCGCTGTCTGTTTTAGATGATCCCCAAGATCCTGTTAGATTATTTTGCAATGAATATAGGTAATGCATGATTCGCATCATCTTCTTTCTTCTCTTGTTGAATGCGTTCTTTGCAGGTCCTTTTCAAAAACAAGGTCAGAACCGAAAATTACCCGGAAACCTCCTGAGCACAAGCAGGCGTCATGCAATGGCGTTTCGCAGCCTCAGCAGGCAATTTCTCAGCAAATTGTTATATTTTTATCATCTATCTGACTTCTAATTTTGATTTTCTAGGAGGAATCTAACAAGCTATCGAACGCAGCGAATCCGGCTCTCCCTATTGAAGTATCTCGAACTGATAAAAATTCGAACAAGCGCTCCAGGCAACCATCACTTGATGACACCATGATCCCGGCTAAGGTGTTTTTGATCACATTTTTTCTCATTTTTATTTCATCATTGGACCTCCAAATTTACGTTAAGGGTCTTGCCAACCTTGGAAATACTTGCTTTTTCAACAGTGTCATGCAGTGTATGATGCACACGCATCAACTTACGGATTATTTTAATCGCTTTGGGAAAGTCACTACATTGGATTTTCGGCAAACACACACTGTAGTCGTGAATGAGGAAAAGGTCAACTTAGAGGTACTACTGTTTACGGTATTGTCATACCAGATTAATGAAAGTTGGGTACTTTTCCGTTATCCGGACCCATTTTTTCAACTCTCATATAATGCTTTCTTTAGTCCATATGATGCTTTCTTTAGTCTAGGAATAAATTTTCATAAATTCAACGAGACCTGCCTCCTTGATAATGTCACAAAAAATTGACATGTTCTGGTCCATTTTGACATGTTTTTTTCGAAATCATTTCCGGTGAGTAAAAGAGAATTTGTGATCACCTTACTGCTGTTCAATAGTTTTAATAAGAGCAAAACAATCACGAACTTATTGTAGAACATCTCGCCTGCTTTCGGCAATGTCAAATATGTTTCATTCTGAACTCTTTTCGCCGTTAGCCAGAAAAGACTATGAATGATAGTGTGTATACCTTGCTGCTGCTTATTTCGCTTCTCAAATGACTGAAAACTAACGCACTTTACTATTCTGAGCAGTCTAACCAGTTCATCGATAATAGTATGTCGTTATTATTATGACAGTGTGTTCACTTGAATACTGTTTAATCGAAATAAGGTCAAAAGTGACTAAAAGATACATTGAACCAACGCCGCTAGGTGGGGTAACACAAACTCGTGGAAAACCTGTCAAACATGTAAATGACAAGTCAAATTTTCTGACACGTGACAGAAGGTTGACACTACATTCTGTGAAGCTGTGACCAGATATAGTACAAGAATAGAAGCAATATTCTTTTTTGAAAAAAATGGGTCTGGATAACGGAAAAGTGCCAAGAGATTAATGAAAGTTGTTTTAGCCTGCTACCATCTCTGTCCCTCTCGAATCGGCACCCCTCAATTCAGTTTTACGAGGATTCATTGCTGAGTTTCAATGTGGCGCGTCTCCCTCTCCAGGATCCGTATTCTCACAGATTTCATGCAAAACTCCGCGCTTCAAGGGCTATCAGCAGCAGGACGCCCACGAACTGCTCAGGTGTGTCAAGCGAGAACACACTTTTTGATTGCTGGCGGTGGCACTACAAAATTTACAGATATTTGCTAGACGGCTTGCGGAGCGAGGAAATGGAGCGGTATAAGGCTGGGATTGCATCTTACTTTGGCGTGTCTCCCAAGATTAGCAGAAATAAAGTGGATTCCGAAACTGTGAAGTTAGCTAAGGGTAATTGTGATACGTCTTAGGTTTCGCGGGCTATCAGCCTCAAAGCATGTGAATTTGGCTCAGGCTATCTTCAAGCAGCTGGACGTCCACTCCTTGATATGGTTTTTGGTGGCACTCTTCTCCAGACAATCTTATGCTCGGAATGTGGTCATGTCAGCGAGCGTCATGAACAGGTTCAGTTTATTATTCGTTGTTGTAAAAGCAACCTCAGCACCCCGACTACTAAAATAATGGATGCATTGTTGATAGTAAGCCATCTTACCAGCAGGAATGGTAAAGGAGGCGCTTGCTTTTGGCATTAAAGGTATTTACCTATAGTTATCCGCAGTCACTACACTTTAAGAAGCATAGAAGGGGCCTGCTTTCGAATGAAATTGGGTGATGGCCTGTTTTGTAAAATGACATATTTGCGTGAAGTACAAATTTTGCTCTGCCGTTTGTAGATCTTGGCATATGATGAGTGCTTTCCTTGTAGTCGCCTACTTGCAGTAATTGATATTCATCAATTGTTTTTCAATCATAATTTGTAATTTAAGTTTCTGGACTTATCCATACCGGTCACATTGAATGGCTCTATCCGCTCCCAGCGCGGTAATTCTATAGCGGTCTCAAATGAACAACTTTCGACACAGGGGAAAAAGGTACGATTGTATGGATGTGTTCACGTGTGATTCTTATACCTTCCAGAGAGGACGTGGAAAACGTAAGGTTGCAATACGTAATGATGATTATAATGAAGGTGATAGTTGCTTACACATTTTATTCCTCTAATGGCAGCCGAATTATAGATAGAATCATAAGTCCTCCTGAACGGCGTCTTGTAGTTGATGACAATGGATACTCGGATGATGATATGGAGAGATTAGTCGCAGGTGTAAACAGACTTGATTTCACGGTACGTCTCCACTTTACTGATGTCACATCTCTTATCTGTGGTCATTTGTTACTGAAAATTTGATCATTAATTTTTTGTACCCATGGTGCTTCTTGCTATCTGCTTAGAATCTTGCGTATTATTACGTGCTGTAATCTTGGTTCTTCTCTCCTTCGGCTCATTTGGGGCCGTTTTCATGCAAATTTGTGCCGAAAGAAGCTGGTTTGCTTTTATCTTCGTGATCCGGTGTCAAGAATTTTCATTGCCATTCTTTACTGAAAAAGCTATAGTGAAAAGATTTGTCATTATGTGAACCGCCCATCTACTGCAGGCTTAGCTATTTTTCGAGAAAGCGGTTTTTAATAGTTTCAATAGGTGCACGGATATTTCAGCAGCGTGTTAGTCCTCATTCCCCTTTTAGAAGGTTCTCGTGTGTCCCCCAGAAGAATACAGGGACGGTGCGTGCAGCATAGGTTCATGTCTTCTGGAATTCACAGCTCCAGAAGAACTTCAAGGCGCCAATGCTTATGAATGTGAGAAGTGCTGTGGTCCTCGTAATAAGAAGGTGAGTTGCCCGGTTAGCAAATACAGCATAGTGTTTCTCTTTCAAGATGAATGCAGTTGGTACTAAGAAGAAGCGCGTCTCCGCCTTGAAACGATACCTAATATACGAACCTCCTGCTGTCCTTACTCTGCATCTGAAACGATTTCAGCAACTGGAAGGGCTCTCAGGAAGTATGCTTACATTTTGATCTTGCCCACAGAGAGTCATATGATGGCGGTTTGATTCAAAAGTCTGAAATTCCAGGGAAAATGGCTGCAAGGAAGTTGAGTGGGCATGTGGATTTCCCTACCGTCTTTGACATGGCTCCTTTCTGCTGTAGGAATGTGGAGGTTTGTTTGCAGAATTATGCTTTTTTGCACATCGCGTCCTCCGCGGTTCCACTTTACGCTGCCTTGCTAATCACCTCATACTTGAATATCACTTGCTTTCCGAGAATGGAATAATTGTGAGGGTGTTTTGGTAGGTCACGAAGTTGCATGTTTGGGGTAATATCTGCATTCATAAGTAGTTTGTTTTTCTTGAACTTGTGCGCAAAGGAAGTAACTAAAGAATGTGAAGTCCGTACGTAGAAAGTTTTCTTTTGTAAAATGTGTAGAGTATCTGTAAATAATTTTTTTAGCGCATAGCACCCGGTGAAAAACGCCTTTTGTACTCGCTTTATGGTGTAGTGGTGCATTCTGGGAGCCTCTCAGGCGGTCACTATATTGCCTATGTGAAAAGTCGCCACAGGCTGAAACAGGTAGTTTTGAATAAATTGACTGAATTAGTTGCTCTCATAGTTATCAATATCGATAGATACATTTGAAATTGTTTTAAGGCCTACGCCTTTCTCGAAATCGCAAGAAATACATGTGTCGATGCTCTGTCTCATCCAGTCCGTACGTCCGTTGAAGATCTTCCACTAGATGCACATATGGAGAACGACGGCCAATGGTACTACTGCAGTGACAGCCAAGTAATGGCAGTTCCAGAAAATCGTGTTCTTTCTGCAGAGGCATACATACTCTTCTACGAGCGGGTGCTATAATTTTGTCTCCCCTAGTGGCTTTATCGGCTTTCCTATGTGCCCTGTACCCACCTCTAGGTTCGGGTGTAGCGTACCTGATGATAGTCTCTGAAATTGTGATAAGATTTTTACAGATGATTTAATTATATTGCATTACAAGAGTTCTATTAATCATAGGTTTATCAGATATTGCTCGTCTTTCACCACCGAATCAACTAGCCAGTTCACAAACAGTCATTAATTCTTGGTTAACCACTAATGAATGGAAGAAATAGATGAAATAAAAATTAAGTGCGTACACAGTCTTCGCAGTTGAAATTCTCAAAATGATCCTCAGATAAGGATTCATAAACTCAAGTCACTTTTAGAAAGACAGACATCGCACACTTGGCGTACAAGACCATTACCGCAAGATAAAACGAATAGGACAGAAAAGCAGTTTATTCTGTCTTATGGAGCATTTGAGGTGGTTGAGCAGCATTCTTATTTGCAGGAAGTGTTGTTTTGACATCCATTCGATATATCAGGTTGTCGGGGAAGTTTTAACGCTTTTCTATTCGCTCACACAGAACTCTAATCGACGAGCGCTTAGCTATCGCTGAATTCAGATTATCATCATCTTTCTAATGCTACATATCGTCGATTCGTTGACTGTACGGACTGGACATAACCGCGAAGTACGCGCCGCGAGGTAAAACGCTTGCTCCAATACAAACTCGCCATTGTTAAAATCGTGCTCTCGCAACATTTTAACCGCGCCGCGCGTGGTCCGCAGCGGTTGAGCAGTCCGTACGGCCAACGAATCGACGATACTTTATAAGCGTTATTATTATTATTATTTATTACATAGGCTACCCTATGTTGACAAAACAGCAATATCAACAAAAAAGAACAAAACAGCAATATCAACAAAATATTCGAATGACAATGAACCAAAAGTGTTAGTAACAATAACATATCAAAACGTCCTACTGCAGATTCATGGAGAAAGTAGATAGTTCTTCAGGACTGCTTTGAACTGTGAAAGCTTATAATGGAGCATTCCCTTCCTCATTAGCTTATCAAGATCACTGCTTACTCTATTAACAAAAAACCTTCTCCTCACATTCCTTCTCGCTCTAGGCACCACTATCTTCATTGGCCCTCCTCTCGTTCTTGAGCGCCTCATTTGGAAAAAGTCCGAGGGATTGACCTAATACTCTTTGAACAAGATTCTGTGTGCTGTAATAATGTCAAATATCCTTCTCCTGAAAGCTAAACTATTTAATCCAAAGTTTTTATTACGCCGATTGCCATCAACTATTTCATCATAGTCAAGCCCTTTGGTTCGGATCCAAAGTTTTCTAGTAAAACTATTCTGCACTTTCTCAAGGGTCCGTATAGAGCTGACTTTCGTGGGATTGAATACTACCGTGCCGTACTCAAGTAGAGGTCTAATGTAGACTTTATAAGCTCTGATAAGGAGGGCTGGATCACTACTTGATAAAGCACGGAATAAGTTGTGTACGGCTGCATTGCCCTTCGCAGCAATAATTTCACAATGTTTATCAAAGCTGAGACTGCTACAGACCAGAAAGCCGGGTCTCGAATCTCATAAACGTGCTCCAGAATTTCTCCTTCTATTTGATACTGAAAGTCCAAATCTCCAGGTCCAATGTGAAGAACTTTTGTTTTTTCACGAGAGATTGGCAAGTTCCATGTTTTCGACCATTCAAAAACGATATTTAGAGCTTCTTGCAGCGTAGCCTTATCTGCCATTGTTGTGATTGTTTTATAGATTTTGAAATCATCAGCAAAACTACAACAGGACACTCCTGCTCTGGAAACAAGTTCATGAGTATAGATGTTAAAGAGTATTGGAGATAGTACGCCTCCCTGCGGCACGCCACTAGACATCATTCTGAAGCGAGAGAACGTCTTATTAACGTGAGCCGAAAATTTGCGATTGGATAAAAAAGCGGAGATCCAGGAAACAAAAATAGGATGGATACCAACTTGTTTGAGTTTGACTGCAAGTTTTGTATGTGAAACCTTGTCAAAAGCTTTCGTGAAATCAAGATAAACAACAGGAATACTTTGCCCAGAATCCAACGAATGGGTCCAATCATTTAGCGAATAAACATACAAGTAACGGTGGATCTGCCCTCTTGAAACCATGTTGGGCAGTGGGCATTATATTTTGTTTTTGTAGATGATTAACTATCTGTTTTTTGATTAGTTTTTCAAAAAGTCTCGAAAAAATCGATGTTATGCTCACAGGTCGATAATTGGATAGGCATGTATAGGGTTTCTTCTTTGGTATAGGAGTTACGAAAGAGATCTTCCATCGTTCAGAAATTTCAGATTTCATTAAGCTCAAATTGAATATGTATTGGAGTGGTTTAGAGATTACAGTCTGCCCCAATCGGGATCAGGCCGAACCGTCGGCTGAATTTGCGCGCTCGCAGCGCTAGGGGTTTGCGTTGCATACGCGCGCATTCGCAGAGAGTGAAGAGATTGAGGAGAGAGCAGACTAGCTTGACGCAGAAGTGGCGCGAAACCCTCGCGACGCGCACTCCCGCCAAGCCAATTTTGGCCTGGTGAGGACTGGGGCAGACTGTACATGGGCCGCCGCTTTGATGAAATGCAGCGGAATGCCATCCGGTGTGAACGACCTAGATGGAGGCCAGTTCCGAAGCACCTCAAAGATTTCAAAGTCATTGAAATATCGTATATCTTTCATCTCCGTATAGTCAGGGTGGCAAGGAACTTGTATCAATGTGTACTGAATCCTGTTCAAAAACTTTTTCAAAGCCATCAGCAAAACCTTCAGCTTTGTCAAGGTCTGAAGTCATGGTATCCCCCGTGTCGGATATGATCACACCCATTTTTTTCCTTTCTTTGATTCTACCGTTGAGCAAGCGAAAGAATGCGTCCTATCTCCCTCTTTAACTGTCTTATTTTCTAAGTAGGTATTATATTTCATAAGCCTTTTTTCAAACCTGGCGTTTACCCTTTTGAAAGCAAGCAAATCCTCTGCTTGGCCAGAAGCTATAAATCTAAACCAGGCCGACTCGCGAGCTCTAAACAGTCTTCCAATGTGGACTGGTAATTTAGGTCCACTTGATGGGACAGCCTTTAGCGGAATGAAAAGAGTGATTGCATGTTGGATTGCAAAAATCAATAGTTCATACATTTCATTGACCGTTGTGACTACTCCAAATGATCCAATCCAATCAATAGACTCGAGATATCTAATGGCAGCCTCAACATATTCGGTTTTATAATCCCTTTTCAAAACAATATCACCAACGAGACCACTTACATAACGTATGTAAAAACTAAGTAACAAGTGATCACTTGTTCCGATAGGAGGTTCAACCCTGACCTCAGTAACCAGTGACTCATCGTTGGTAAGTACCAAATCGAGAGTGCTTTGCCCATGGGTATGATGCCTAACCTTTTGAACGAGGTTCTGGCTCAGACACATATTCAAAAAGTTCCTTGACATGGAGTTGCCCCCATTAACTTTCAACGTATTGCAATCAATATCAGGGAGATTGAAATCTCCCAGTAGGATAGTCGAGAAATTCACGGCCATCAAGTCTGAGAGGGCCATGATCAACTGTTCGAAAATGGGACGTGGGCAGGAGGGCGTTCTATACACCAATATTATTCGACCTTTTCTCGTACTGGTATGAATGTCTACACAAAGTAACTCATAACCATCAATGATCGACTCACTGAATACTAAGAGTGGGCACAGAGCCTTACTTAGCAGTAAGGCTACACCACCGCCCCTTTTGAACTTGCGATCACATCTATATATCTCGTAAAATCTGCACAATTCGCCAAAAAGGGCGGCATCGGATATATCATAGCTTGCGTTCAACCAGGTCTCTGTAATCCCGCATATACATGGCAAGGTATTAGCGAGGAGGAATGTGAGCATAGATAAATTTTTTTGCAATGATCTTATATTTGTCAGAAAACACAAAAAAGACGAAAAAGAACTATCTTCTCTCCGAGGAATAGCTATGCGTTCAAAGAATCAGCAAAATCAGTATGGGAAGAATGATTGATGACATCCATATGACTATTAGCAGAAGGGGAAACATGGGAAACATGAGAATCAACATTTTCATTTCTGGAAACACTTATTCGCAATCCTTTCTCTAGCTTGAGCTTTTCACGCTCCGCTTTCGATAAGGACGCCCTAATGAATATTCCTTTTTTGTAAGGAAATTTCTTCATCAGATAAGCGTTCGCGCGCTGTTATCGTCAGGATGACAAGGGAGGTCCGTTTGGTCGAAGTGGCCTTTTCACATGGATTAATACGACTATAAAGCGCATCGAACGCTGATTGCAAATCTGTTTTCGTTATCTGCCAAGCGCCTCCGGACGTCGAGTTATGAGCGTTTTTCAGTTGAAAAACTGAATGCATAGTTAGCACAAAATTCGTCAGAATTGTCACATGGTCCAATGTTGATTATTATAGCATTCCATATTAACAATACCTTCTGTCCAAAACACTTTTTACTCAAAAGTGCTCTATTTGAGCTGAAAAGACCGTAAAATTTGATACCCAGATTTTGCGTTCATTTTTCGCATCAAGACCTCAAAGTGGTATAAGACTCATTTGAAAAGGTCACTTCGACTAATCGACTTCCCAAGTGAGCACTCCAGCAAAGACGCCGAACTTCTCTTAACTTTCAAAAGATTCTATTCCACTCTTTCTTAAAACGTTGGTAGCTGTTATGCTGAGTGAACCTTGGCCTGCATTGTACTCACTCATTGTAGATTACAAAATCGTCTATCTCCCAGAATTGTTCCGTAGGTACCATCCACGTGGCTGCCTTTCAAGCGCTCAACATGTCAACTTCGGATAGGCGCCCAAATTTGCTGCAGTTAACATGTAAAAACGATCGAAAGGCAGCCACGCAGAGTGTATCAACGGAAATATTTTCTGGGGGATCAAAGGCTCGGAAAAATCGCGAGTGGGGATTTCTACAACTATATGGCCTTCTGGGCCAGCTGAGTCAGGCACTGTGCTTGAAAAGTCAAAAAGTGCTTTTTTGGCGTTTTCCGACCTTGGAGATTGCTGGAGAGGCGGGACGAGGGATTACCGTCGACTGTATTGTATTTGATTGCCTAGGCTGATCAGCCGATTGCCGCCAAACTAGATGAAGTTACAGTATCTTGCAGTCACATGCTGGTTATGGCGGGAATCGCTCGCCAGGCCCTGGCGATCTTGAGTCAAACTGGACTTCGTTTTTGAGTTTAGAAGCAACGGGGATATCGTT